CTCACTGTTCTTAACAGCATTTTATGGTCCTCAGTGCTATCCAAGATTAAAAATAGTATTTAATTCTTAACTGTGATTAACAAAATTAGTAAGTTATAATTGAGAGAAATAACACTTAGTAGAAGACCAAAGGCAGAGCTCAGGTTTGATGTACAAAGTTAAGAAGCACCAAAAAAAGCAACTTATGAGGGGAACTGAAGGGAAGATGAAGAAGAGGTACCTGATCTTTTCCTGGGGAAATGCTGCATGATGACACCACATGATTCATGTGAACCACGTTCTGGGCTTGAAATTTTAAACAACATTGGTGAAAGCAGGCTTAGGTTTTCTTCTGCAGAAAAAAAGAAATACAGATATTTATCCAGTTTCATTGCCGCCTGCCTAATCAATTCCTTGCCTCTTACTTAGATGACACATCCTAACCAACAGCTGGCAGTGCCAGAAACCATTATGAAGTAAGTGCAGGGAAAAAAAACCCAAATATTTTAGTATATTGATTCACAGATATTTTCATTTCATTATGACCTCACAATATCTGTGGAAATCATGCAGTGTCTGATCTGCCATAATGCAGAAAAACTGATTTTCATCTCAACCAAAAAACCTGCTTAATCATTTATAACGTTGGGACAACCAGACTTAAAATTCTGTAACCTGTTTTGAAAGTGGTAACCTAAAAAAAGAGAAAATAAATTTATTCTACTATCTTTAGAGCTATTAAATTTATAAATAAATTTATTCTGTTATCTTTATCTTTATTCTATTATCTTATCTATCCTACCACTACTGCAACCAAAGTGGCAACCTCCTTAAAGCATAGGCAAATAACTGGGGAAATCAATGCCTTGGAATGCTGCAGTTAGATTTACCAGAGGTTATTTGCCAGAACCCACAGTGAAATTAATGAGAAATAACACTGACAGCACTGTCAATACTTTGAAGGACAAATTGCTTTTAGACTCACCTGAAGGCACTGGCTGTTAACACTGGCTCTCTGTATTGCCATACCAAGCAGGAAGATCTGTGGGGTGGAACAGTTGGAACTGAGAGCTCAGCAGCAGCTACAAGGAGCCCAGGTCCTGCAGACCAAACACCCACTGACAGCTGAACAACCTCCCAGGCCAGTTGTCCTGTAGGAGCCCTGTCCATCCTGCTTCCCAAGACTGGCCCCAGTTCTCCTGTAGGAGCCCTGTCCATCCTGCTTCCCAGGACTGGCCCCAGTTCTCCTGTAGGAGCCCTGTCCATCCTGCTTCCCAGGACTGGCCCCAGTTCTCCTGTAGGAGCCCTGTCCATCCTGCTTCCCAAGACTGGCCCATGATGCAAATCTAAGCCCTGGAGGTGCAGAGTACCATGAGATGTGCTTGGAACACTCCCCAAGCAAACAAAAGCCCTTGCACAGACACTCAGAGTTCCAGCACACCTGCACCTGTTCATGCACACACAGGGATCCCTCTCAAACAGGCCCAGCCTAAACTGTGCCTTAACAAAATTTCTGCTTTAATCACAGGTTGTCAATACCTTAAAGGTTATCAGAAGCCAAGCACCATGTCCTGTTAGGCAGTAAGATGCTAAACATCCTTCATAGTACAGTCCAAGATACAAGGAACAGACACAGAGCTGCTAATAGCCTACAGGATCACTGTTTCACTCTAAAATACCCCAAAATCTAGAAAAACTACAAAAGGAAAAAAAAATCAAAAAGCACTATATAAAACCAACCTTCTTTGGGAACTGATATTCAAAGCCAGTATCTCATTTTTAGTTTCTTTCTCAATAAATCCTGCCCAGCCACAGGACAATAATAATCTGCAAAGTATTCCCCAATACCTTGTCCCAGTTTCAACTTTTTTTAATCAACCATAGCAGTATCAGAACAAAAGTAACTGGACCATTAAAAAATGTTTGTAAAATTTCACCAAAGAAAGCTTTCAGGGGACTTCCAGGGGAAGTGACAAGTTTCCTTAAACCATTTTCTATTTGATTGCCAATTTAAAGTTCAGAATTCTCTGGTCCTGACAAATTATCCAACTCCACCAATCCTCACACCTCCAGAGATGATGAAGCAATGTTTCAGTGCACACAGCCAGTAACACCCATTAGCAGGATCTTCATTTCCCTTGCTAGGTAGGAATGATGTTCTAAAGAAAAATGTTCTTTAAGGTTGCTCTCACTGAAAACTGAACACTCCCTTTTGCTGGTCTCCATGGTGAGAATGCCTGAACACCAGGGAGCTGTTTGGAATAAGGCTGCCATCTAGGAGCAGAGCAGGGGAAATGCAGAGAAATCTCGAGGCAAAATTTGAACCGTGAGCCCACTTGATGGTCAGACGTGCTATTACACTGGAAGCACAGATCTTCAGGGGAAAAAATGGATAAGAAGTGGCAGAAAGCAGAACTTGTTAAAAGGTGGTTTACAAACAGACAGTTCCCAATACAATCCTCAATTATTTGGTTCACAACAAACAGTTTATCCAGTCAGGCAAGTCAACATGTACAGAGGTGCAGTGGCACTCTGCACTTTATCTTCTTCCTTTCATTAAAAAACTGCAGCCTAATTCACTTTTTCTAAAAGAGTATTTTTCCATGTGAGGTTTCAGGCTACAAAAAAGCAGTGAAATAAATGAAATCAGCCTGAACCACAATGACAGTCAAAGGCAGAGCCTAAAATTCTTACACTGAAACTAGTCACAAGAAAACCTTCATGTAAGCAGCTTCCTGAAGCCTTACCATATTTATCCTTGCTTCTCAGAAACTATGCAGTTTCCAAGCAAGTCAGAGCTGCAGTACACAGAATTTTACTCTTTCATCATTCAGCTGTCACTGGCTGTATTTTACTTTCATAGATGGAGAACAAATGCAATTTACAATTATAATCTACAGTGATTTGTCAGTGTTTCATCCATGGATCATCTCTAACACACAAAAGAAAGAGCTCTTGAGATCCATCATGCTGATGCCTATTTTGTACAAAGCAGACACTTTCCAGTTCAGTTACTGAATATGTTCCAAGAAATCTGTCTTGGCACAACCACAGTTACCAGGGCTTTTGGAAGAGGCTGAAATGTCCTGTCTATACTGGAAAGAATGGCTTGTTCCTGGCTGGTGGGAAGAGAAACTCAGGGTTCTTGCTCTGCCAGATCCCCTGGCAAAGACCCACTCCCTCCCTAGAGTGTTTTCAAGGCCACCTGCTCCCATCACAGCTTTCTCAAAGAAACTGGAAGCCATCAGGGAAGAACAGTAGCATGAGGATATGTGGGAAAGGGATGACAGAAGAGACCTGGGGAATACAAAGAGAAGAAATACAGAAATAGAACTCAACCACTGTTTCAGGAGAACCTCCACCAATGAAGGCGAATAAATGGCCTTGCACATTTGAGAGGTACAAACGTGTTTTTCAAAAGTACTGATTAGAAAAGGCACCAATCTTAATGTAGAAATTAACTTACAGTTTTGTCACATCCAACAACATTAACTTTGGTCCTGTGACAGAAACCAATTCCATGTGCAGGAGCAGAAAGAGACAGAAACCTGTAGGAAAGCAGTCAGAGCACCAAAGAGACTGCCTTGGCACCTCCCCCTGTCCCTTCCTAACACAGCACTTCTCATTCCAGCCTGACCATACCCTTAAGTCAGAACTTCCCTTTTGTCACTGGGACTTGTAACTTACCATGCAAATGAATTCTCTATCCTTAACTGACTCATCTGTCCTCACTACTGGTATCTGTGACAGGCTACAGTTCTGGGAAGCACAAGTTCAATGATGCACAGAAGTAGGTCCTGTACTGGCAATTTCTCATTTACTGCAATAAAGACAAATGTGTTTTAGTGGCTTAAGCACATTTCCATCTCCACACACCATCTCTCTCATCCAGCGTTAACAAGGATGGAAATAATTCCTTAGGAGTTAAGAAGTGAAAACCACTTTCCATGCTTCCTGCTTTCACTTACACAGGTTGCATTTGATCAGCGTCTTGTGATAACTTGAAGCTATCACAGCTCCTTCTGTTAATCAGTAACTAATAAACAGCCAGTATCTGATAGTCCAGCTTTTTTAATAAACATTTTGGCTTCCACCCAGAGATCAGTTCTGTAGCTGAACCTCGTTAGGCAATTCCCATTACTCAATTTGATACTGAAAACCACCAGTAATACTGAAGAAAAAGACATTCAGTTGCATTTCCCCTCCTAGAATAGAGGAAATTAAAGGTGACTAAATCCCAGTGTGTCAGATTTTATGAATGTAATTATCTCCTACACCTCCTCCTTCAGGATTTTACACAGCTTGAGGCTTTGGGGTTTTTTCTTGGTAAAATAAAGTCCCCACATAATTATTAAAGGAAGAATTTTGGCTGAAATTGCACTATACTACTTTAAGAAAGACTACTTTGTTGAATGTCTTCCCCAGAACTATTTATATCAAAACAGCTCATTTTTGCACACTCAGGTAGACTTTGCTTTGTTATTTACAGTCAGCAATACAAACACAAGACCAATAACAATTATGCTTTTAAAAGACAGTCAAAAAAAGCTATGGGGAGTTAAATGAACTACCACAGCATGTTTTGGAAATACCAGTCACAGGATGCCAATTGCAGATCTACATTTCTGATGTCTCCTTCTCTCCCTCTCCAGTAAATAATGGGCCAAGAAAGAGTACAGGACGAGAATTTACCAGCTGGACAAGGCAGATACTCAGCAAATAATTGTCACAAAACAAGTGCTTGGCTCTCAAACTTCAGGAGTCTGACCCCCAAAGTATGTGATTTTTAAAAAACAACTCTATGGAGCAAGAAATTATCTTCTACAGATAATTCATAAAAAACAGGAAGTTGTCTAACAAAATAATCCTCCCACATTAAACCATTGTAATTTTCTTCCTACCAAAAGTATATCACACCTATTACAAAATGTCATACCTAGGATGAATACCAGATTTTTAAGAGGATTAAAACCAACACACCCTGAGTATCACAAATGTACTTAATTCTCAGTTCAATAAAATATTGGAATATCAATTTATTAAAAAGTTATGTGAACTGTACATACGTAAACTGCAATATAGCTGAAAAATCTGAAATATATAATTTTAAAGGAAAATCATTTATTTCTGAAAATATTTAAAATATTGCATTTCTGGCAGCAAATTCAAAAGAAGTGCTCTGGAATGGGTGCAGTCTCTCTGTGCAATTGTCTTCAAGGCATGAAACATATCTGCTTTCTGATCTTTCACAGCACAATCTTGTGACCACTTTTTTTCTGATTTGTAGAGACAGAATTCGATTTCCAAGAACAGGAGCAGAATTTTGAACAGGAAATGCTATGGTCCTTGTTGGTGCAGACAACACACTTTCCGAGAGTCCATGGCACCTTGGAAATCTGCTGGCCATCCTGCATAAAACTGCATCAGATTGTGCTCACAAGTTACAGAATAAGTCTTTGATTGATAATTTTTCTGTTTATTTCCGCCAAGGCCACTGAAAACACGAAGGCCTTTTCATCTGAAAGGTTAGCATACATGTCAACTTCTTTTTCTTGTTTCTCTGTAGAAGAAAAAAAAGTCACTATTAGAAGCTTTTTCTATTATTTGAAGTTAATGCAAGTTATACAGAAATTAATAAATTATGTGAAGTAGTGGAATTGAAGTTAGACAATCAACTCCTATGCACGGAGGGAGTAAGAAAGAGGAGGAAGTAATAGAGGCACACAAAGGTGCTGGAAGAGCCACAGAATGAGTCAGCCAAAAGCATGACTGAACTTCTCCTCTTTAACAATGAAGGAAGAATGAATTGTTAACATAAAGATAAACAAGTATTCAAGGGTTCCTTCAGGTTTTTTTTGGTTTTAGTGGTTTGAGTTTTTTTCTTTACATGACCGCCTCCCATCCAAGAAAACAAAGTTATTTCACAGTATGCTAATTAAACACAAGATTTGCCCCCTTACTTTACAGATACATGAAAGAAACCCAGGAGTTTAGTGACAGGGTCAAAGGCCAAAGAGCAGACACTTGGATGAAGTCAGGCTCCAAATTTACCATCATGCACATTTCTGGACTTTCTACACTGCAGACTTTCCATCCCATCCCAGCTGTAGAACAATGCTAACACACCTCCCTGAGCAAGTCAAAGCCCATCAGTTCCCTGTGCTGATGTTGGCTTGCTTCAATGCCACAGACAAACAGGAAGCCATCAAAAAGTTTCCGTACTGCAGGGCTCAAATAAACTAAGTTACACCACAAAAATTAATAAAATAATATAATTTGAATAATACCACTTGCATAAATACCACCTCCTCCAGATCCTGACTGGTTCTATCCCAGTTTAGCAAGCCACAGGTAGCTGACACAAATTGTTAAGAAAATAAAGCCAACAAAGAAACAGTTTTGTCAGCAGGAGACCAGGCTTGTAGACAGAAGGAAGAGAGAAATACATTGAGAGCTTTCAGCTGTGCAACTCTATGTCTAATCCAGGTTCCACGTGGCCTGGACTCATTTCCAGCCACAACACAAAGCTCACCTGAGAGAGCCCTCAGTCTCACTAACACACTGACACACACCCACACTCTGGCAGCTGCTCCACCAAGACACCTCAACTAGAGCATGGGAAAGCCAAAAAAAGGCAGCACTGGAAAATAACAGAAAGCACGAGCAGGAACAAAGATCCCAGCAGGTCCCATCTCCACCTACCCACAGGGCTACCCTTCAGTGGGTTCACACTCATAGCAATGGTTTTATTTGGCTTCACATTTGTGTGCAGCTATGGAGAGAGCTCCAGCAGACTGCCTGCCGTGTGAAATCAAGTGCTTGTGCTCAACAACTGAGTGGGAGAAGCTCCAAAATCCTTCACCACTGTGTTCTGATTTACTGACACAGAAACAGCAGAAAGCAGCTTTTTGCTGACTTCCTGGCTATGCAAGGCAATATCCTCCAGTGCATTGAGTTTGAATTGAGTTTCAAAGTGAGTTTCACTGCCAGTCCTACCCCACAGTTTAAGACAAATCAGCTTCTGTATGTACACTCTGGGCTGCTCCACTTCCTCCCTCTCACCATTTAAAAATTAACAATGCTGGGAGCAGCTCTGAGTACAGACACTACACACACTGGTTATTCCACATTAACCTTTTCTATTTTCATATCTAAGCCCCACCCCTTGATTCATACTTCCTGATCCAAACGAATCCAGCCACAACTTGAACATATCAGCAAATATGTTAAAAATACTCCCCCTGCACCACACCCTGGTTGCTGTTAACAGACTGTGGACTTCTTAGGTTCTCTTCCTCCCAGATCAGCCTTATTCTGAGACTTCAGCTTACTGAAATCTTGATATCAAAGAGTATGTGGGATTAACACAGGTGTGCAGGCTTCATGCACTCTCAGGACAATTGCAGTTCTCATCAGTAACAAGTGAAGAGATCACACCTGTGTGACATTTTGTCATACACTACTCCTAGGATACCACAGCTTCCACACACACACTGAAAACTTTCCCACTTCAGTCTTATCTGAGAGTAGTTTTGACTCATTTCTCTATTATGAGCAAAAGAAAAACAGTATTGTGTTTCTACAAGACAGCAAGACATTAAAAACTAGGGGGTTTGCTATACAACTGAGAGGCTATTTAGGCAAAAATAGCTTTTCTGGATCACGTCTCTTGTATCCCCAGATCTCCTGCAATCCCTTTATACTGCAGCCCTTAAAATAGTGATTATGTATAAATCACATATGGACCTCCCCCTTCACAAATTTTGTATGGATTCATTTTTCAAGATAGCAAGTTGCTTCAAATATCCACACTGGGAAAGTAAATGTGTGAGTAATGAAGCTGGAGATTACAGGAAAAAGAAAATTTGCATCAAGAAAATGTATTCAGCTTAAGTTTTATCAAGATACTGAAATGTCTGTATCTACCTTTATGAAGGTTTGGCCTGCTAAGTAACAAGTCTGCTTCAGCAAGTCTACTACTCTTACTGAGACTTACTTGCTGGTAACCTCTTCCAGAACAATCAATACCACTTCCCCCAGTATAAAAGGGGTTTTGTTTGCTTTACTACAATCAGGGTTTTTACCCAGATAACAAGGCAACCTGGGAACCAGTCTAGCTGTACACACAATAAAACAAAGAACACACCTCCACAACAAAATCAGAGTCAAATTATTATGGTGTGTTTGTATTTTCAAAATACATTGCAGTACATCTGACAAAGAAATTAAGTGACAATTTTGACAAGCCAAGGCTGCAGGGAGGAGTTCCTATTTTCCAGGGTCATCACATGCCTCTGAAACATGTGATAGGATCATTTTCTGGGTCCCAGTACTGCCATATCCCCTCAATCTACATCTGCTTCCTCTTTCCTCCCCCTCCATTCCTTCTTGCTAAATCTGCAGGGAAAATAGCTTGTTCAAAAAGCCTTTTTGCTTATTCTATTCTTCTTAATTGCTGCAGCTCTTTGCTCTAATGTGAGCCAGTCACGAAGGACACAAAGGAACCAGTCAAAGGCACAGACACAACTGGGAACAAGCACAGTGTGTATGGAATTGCATGACAAGCAAGGAAGCAAAGCTACAGATGTCACTGGGGTCTTTAGGAAGGAAATTTTCACAGCTGGATGGTCTTCAAATGTACAGATAATCTGTTCTTCCATGTTAATACAACTGAGGTGTTTTCTGTCTGCCTGTTTTTCAATCTACAAATGCATTAGGAGCCAAGTATCTAAACCATGCAAGCAATGGCTTCTTTTCAGTTCTTTGGGGCAAAAGCATAACCTCTAGTGGCAAGTAAGAAATACCCAAAATGTCCTTGAAACATTCAACAGGCAAGGAAATTAGATAATGACACCTTGCACTGCAGAGCTGACTTCCAACACATACAGGCTGCTAAAAGGACTAGCAAGCACTCACACAAAAACCACCTTAACTGCAGTAGAATTACAGTTGCTTAATAGACACAAACAACACTATCAAGCAGCACATGTGGTAAAGGAATAATATTTCTAAAATTCCTGCCAATTACTCCACACATAGTAGTTTCAATTTTGTAAGCAACTTGAAAAGGGAGAGGTCAATGTTAACTTGTTTTAGTAATTATTACAAAAGGATGAGCTCCCTGCTGAATTTATTTTTATAGCCATAACAGCCTTATATAAAAACCTTTTTTTTTTAAATCTGTCTGATAATCATAACAGTGGTCTACACACACTACAATCTCACATAACCAGGAGTAAAAGAATATTCCAAGCCTACTTACTCCTGAACAATAAAATGAGCTGCACTGGGGCAAAGACAATGACAATTGGTTATGAGCCAAATCCCTGCACAAGAGGCTGAGGAAGAAACAGCCATCACAAGACCAAGGAAAAGGCATGGTAAAAACAGCACGAGAAGATGAAGGCAATCTTATCAAGTAAGATTCAACTTTAACAAAGGCCCACCAAGAAAAAGGCCCACCGAGAAAAAGGCCCACCGAGAAAAAGGCCCACCGAGAAAAAGGCCCAGCACACACACTCTTGTGCAAAGATCCCACTACACCCAGATCTCTACTCTTCTACCTCCAAGCACTGCAGTATTGTCACACTTTGGAGTTTGCAGCAAGAGGTTAGAAACATTCACCCTAGTTTTGGACAGGAAAACCCTCCTGCTGTCAAATTCTTGCTTTTTGGAAACTATAAAACATGTCTTAAGAAAATGGATCTTTTCCTTTAGTTGCTTACTGGCATTCCTCTTTGTCAGGAGACAGAAAAGAAGATTCACTTTTATAGGGCAACCCAACCAGCTTGCTGGAATTTTAAAAGCAAGGCTGTCTGTGATCTAGACTGGCAGTTAAATGCCTAGAAAGGATCCTGAAGCTACCACACAAGTCCAGCTTGGGTCACTAACAAATAGGGAAGCTATTATAACTTATTGACATCAATAAGTAATACACAATAGTGAAGAGAGTAGATAATACCAAGTGCATTTCTATTACACTAAAACAATTGCCATCTGGAAAATGCACAGAAATTAAATTCCACCTCCTTTTTCCACACTGAAAGCACTAAAAATCCCCCAACAAATCTGAATTTATACTTGTTTTTTACATTAAAGAAACATTAAGAAACAGATTTACATTAAACAGCAGAGATATCAAACTTGGTTTTGAGAAGTCAGAAATTGAAGGAATTTCCAACATGGATTAACACCCTTTTTTTTATTTTGTAAGGTGGAAAGGAAGAAATAATTGCATTTCTGAGTTATGCACATGATATACTTCAAGATTTCAGGAGTTTTAGGAACAATATCTGCTGAATATTTGCATGAAGTTTCGTCATTCCCCTTTTATCTGCCTTCCAACCTTCTGAAGCCCATGCTAAGTTTTGGATTCATAACTCAGGTCTAAAATTACTATCTCCAAAAACACAGCTAGAAAATGCAGTGTCAATAGGCTCTTAAAACAAGAGGAACCCTAAGTGACAGTTACATTCTTGAGGGTTTCTAGAATTACTCTAGCTATGTAACAGCCTCTTTAATCATTTTGTATAATGATTAAAACCAGCAGGTCACCAAGGAACCTTAACAGACAAGGAGGCATTCTTTCCTCCAGAAACAGGACTAAAATTCAGGTTATAGTAGTGATTCAACATGCCCCTTTTACTTTGGCCCCCCAAAAGGTTTCAAGAAACTTTTAAAGTAATCCAGTCATCCTAATCCCCTCTCTGATAACAGATATCATTATATGGTTCTCCTTGTGATACAAAGCAGCAGCACCTCAATTAAAAAAAAAAAATTTAAAAAATCACCCAAAAAAACCTACTTAACACTCCAGTCCAATGGCTTTCAACCCACATGTTGAAACTTGATACAGTGGCTAAAAATACAGATTTAGATCTTTGTAGTTCGTTTCATCAGACACTGAAACATAAAACCAGAGGTCTCTACACATGCAAATCAGTCCCTTCCCCACATTAAGGTATCAGGTACTGGCTGAACTAGTTTACTTATTGAATGGTATAAAGGTTTGCTGATTACAAAAGATACCAACAGAAAATCCAACAAACAGATTTCTGCAGCTCTCATACCTCTTTCTTCCTCGTGCTTCTTTGCTGAGGCACTCTTAGGTCTTCCTCTTCCTCGTCTGCTCTGGTCTGAATGGCTGTTGGACCTGGATCTCTTGCGGTTTTCTAAGTCTTTATTGACTGCAGAATTTATCTTCTCTCGCTTAACTCTCTCTGTCCGCCTCCTTTTGGCCTCACTCTTGTTTTCTGTGCAAATGAGCAGAAATGCTATGATGCAGGGTTGTTTTCACCTTCGTTCTTAACTTACTCTTAATGCTTACCCTACCCAATCAACCTTTGCCTTTCAAGTGCTCAGGTGCCTGCACCTTTACAGAACAATTGCATCTGCACGATATCCATGCAGAAATTAAGGTGCCAGATCCAGAAGGGTGTTTCACTTCTTGACTCCAAGGATAAAGCCTTTAATTACTTCAAAAGCATTTTGCAGCCTGTGATGTTTGCTGGGACACAAGAAGCTGTTTCCCAAATAAGATGGGAACACAAACTGCACACATCACAGCCTTTAAGACACCACATTCTGGATCTGTTCCACTAGAAAATCATACAGCAAACACCACAGCACTGGGGCTTCCAATGACACTAACAATGAAACCATTACTGCTGCTCAGACAAATTGAATGCTGAGTCAGTGGTGCTGGCAGTGAACACCTCAGAACACAGTGAACGTGTCCCACCACATCCAGCCTGTGACAGGGCCCCTCATGCTCACTGCTGAACAGGTATTGTTCCCCTCAACACCCAAGTCAGTCAGGGAAAGGAGCATTCCCATGAGTTTTATCTGGAAGTTAAACATGAATTAATGAGCTTGGGTACCAAATACAGTACAGTCACCACAGCACACTCATGGATTAGCTGCACATCTGTAAGGCTGCAGCACCACTCCACAGTAGCTGCACTGCTGAAAATACTGGAACAACATTTTGTAAAAGCAGTTGTGGTTACCTTAGGAGCACAATACAGACATGCACAGTCTGCTGCTCCATCTCTCTCTGGGGAACTGATTTCCTTTGGCTGCAGTTGTGCCATTGATCTTGTACAGACACAGGGACAGCAGACTCCAGCCACTGAGGCTCATACAGAACCTGCACTTCAGAGTGGCACAGCCAGGCTGAGGTAGAGCAGGGGAACCTCTGCAGAGCCTGCCCAACCCCTGCTCACACAGGGCCACCAAGAGCCAGCTGCCCAGGACCACCTCCAGAGGGCTTTGGAGCACCTCCAAGGATGGAGACTCCACAACCTCTCGGACAACCTTTGCCAGTGCTTGGTCACACTCACAGTAAAAAGCACTTTCAGAGCTGCTTTCCAGTAGAATTTTGCCTCCCCTGGTGCACTTCCTTTTGTGCAAAACTGAATTATACAACCAGATCATGGCCTTCAGCTTCATTTGGTAACTACTTCATCAAAAAAGCAGGAGGAGGAAAGAAAATTGATCAACACTTCCAATCTACCAGAGACATTTCTTAGCCTCCTCCACCCTGAAAGCTCAGTTGTCAGCATAATGTCACCTAATTCCCACAAGTGGTATCCTTCAAAACATTGCTACAAAACATCAAATAGCTGACTTCCATTTTGTAGGTCTGGTAGATCATTTTAAAAAGTAGCTATTATAGATCAGATATTTGTTGGGTTTGGTTTTGGGTTTTGTTTGGTTTGGTTTTGGGATTTGCTGGGTCAGGTTTTTTTGGTTTTTTTTTATGTATATCATTCTTGTGAGGCTTTTTCTGACGAATTCCTACTACTGCAGGAAGTCATATAAATGAACACAAGGAGAATGCTATTCATGCCAGAAAGTACACTCAACTGACTTCTTACTTTGTCCATCAACAAAAGAAACACAAGTCAGGCACAAAAAAAGCACTATTTAATTTAATCATGGAGAGAGAAGCAAGATCCACCCAGTTTTAGATTAAACATTATGACCAATTTTGTATTTTCAGAAAACCCAGCTTCAATCAGCATGTGCTCTGAAATCAGATCCTTTTGGGACCTCTACATGTTTAACTTCAAAACAGGATTAACACAAAGCATTCTGTAAGGGGTTATTCTGCATAGTGATCAATGTGTGCAGCTAGAACATACACAGAATAAATGCCAACATCGTGAGTACAAAGGAACACTGAAAACACCAGCTTCCCTCTTCTCCTCAAAAATCAAGAAAAAATAACATATTCAAAGTCTAGCATGCACAAATTGAAGGGAAAGTGAACTGACAACAATCAATTTACAGAGAGAAGTAAAATCCACTATCTTTTGCCTCCCCCACTCTGGCAGTATTACCTGTGATGGGTGGTGATCGCTCGGCACGTTTGGCGTGCAGGAGCTTTCGGCTGATAAATATGTAGCCACAGGGACATGATTTACATGCAACAGGAACCTGGGAAAACAAATAACAGTTTTTTCAGATAATTTCAAATTATGACCAAACTCCTGCCTCATGAAGAAAAATCACACTTAGTAACTCACATTTTGTCCTCAGAGATAGCTCTTCAAGCTCAGTGTGTATGGCAAACTACAGCCTGTCCTGTTACTGTATTTAAACATAATAAAGCCAGATTCTGCTGTAAATCACTCACCAAGCCTTTTCTTTATGCAGTTGTTAAAAATCAAGCTTGAAATGTACAGCTGTTGTGATTGCTTTGCACTACTTTTCCCCAGACTGACAGGAAGGGGGTGGGGGAAAGCAGAGAGCATTAAAGGAAGGCTGAATTAAAATAGAATTCGTTTCTCTTCAGAGCTCTCAAATATCAGTAGTGAAATCAGTCAGACATTTCCAGTTTTGCTTCCTCTATATACTTGAAAAAAAATAATTATGAGTTAAAACCGTCAGTACATTGTGAAAGCATTCACTTCCAGCAGCATTTGAAAGCAGCTCCTTTAGAGAGGAGCAGCTTTAGAGGCACAATAGAGCCTGAAGCAAAACAGATGCATTTGCAGCACGCTCTGCTCCAGCGCTGCAGACAAGGCCGGGTGGGTACAGAAGGAGCTCGTTAATTCAAAATGCAAATAACCCAGCCCAGGCAGGCAAGAACTGACTGCCGGCCCAGGAGTTTGAGAGAATGCAGTGCCTCTGAGCAGCTAAGCAGACAGCAGCAGTATGCTCCCCCAGAAAATCACAGTGTAAAACAAGAAATGCCACATTTAATATGAAAATTAACAAAAATCTACTCAGAGCAATTAAAAAAAGCAACACTGATAAATTACAAAGCTCGTTACCTCAGTACCAAGATCTTTTGGGATCTTTTAGAGTAGTAAGCAATACACCATGTTGCTTTGATTAGGTTTAAGACTGAAAACACAAATCAAAGCAAGTTTAGGCAGAGATCTGGAAGAGATTAAATAACACACATTAAAGTGGAATCATGCTGAAGCATGATAGTGGGGGGAAAAGGCAGGAGGTGATTTCTCAAATGTAATTCTTTAAGACAGGTCACTACAAGTCTGCCAATATCCACTGAAACAAACAGGAGCACAGAACCACAACTGCCCCTCAATTTAACCAGACAGGGGGAAGAACAAAGTTCCAAAGTACTGACTCAAAAACCCTGCCAAATTAGTACATGAATTTCTAAAGGGGAACTTAACTGCTACTCAGAATAAACGAATTATTTTGCTTTCTGTAGCACATCTGAACTCCTGCACTTCACCCTACAAAAAACTTGCAGATAGACTTTTTGATCCAGGTTTTGCAGAACTAGGGATTTTAAATCCCTTAATGGAGACACTGACATAATAAAAACGAGTCCAACAGAGGTTTATTGAACTTTAAAGAATTTAGCAGACTTGTGTGCACGGTTGTCTCCTCGTTCATACCTCAGTGTAACAATACTAAATCCCCACCATCTCACAGATAACTTGTGTGTTCTTAATGTGACACACAATTCCAGCTAAATCCATTTCTGAACACTTGGGTCTCTCCAATAATTACCTTTCCAGGCTTGGCCTAAAAAAACCAACTTTGGCAAAGCCACCCAAGGGGATTGGAACAGAGTCAGTATTTTTCAAGGAACTCAAGTGTGTTTAACAGAACAATACTGTTCTCGTGTTACAGGTTTAGCACATAGGGGTGTGCAGCATTTGAGGGTGGGGGCCTGGGGGAAGGGGTTTATCTCTGAAGCTGATCACTATCACTTATCCTTTGAACACCCACACTGATAACATCCTGCAACATAATTAAGGTAAAAGTGTCCTAAGCACTATTTCACACTGTTTAGCATTTTCCTAATAAAAAGGGAATTTTTCTCATACAAGACATTTTACCTGATGCTAAATTAAGAAGTGATTATTATTTCCTCAGATTGACTGCAAGTACTTGAGGCTCCCCAGCTTAATGGGGCTGTGCTTTGATTGTGAAAATACTAAAATATGATATATTATCTAAATTACAACAGAAAAATGTGTTGAAGTCTTAGAAGTGTTACTCAATATTTCGCTCCAATAATTGTGGGTGTCTAAATATTTCCATGCATGCCACTTCTACTGAAAAAAATCAGAAACAAATGCTAAGCCCTTGCTCATGGAAGAATTTAAGAAACACCAGCACAGGACACAGCCATATAAGAATTATATGAGTTTCCTCAAAATCTGCAAAGGGTTGACTTGTACTATAGGCCTTAGCTCCTTGCTCCCTCTCAAATATTTGGCAGTGGAAAACAAGGTGTTTTCCAGTATGAGCAATGTGTGCCAGAGCAGGACATATAAGCACATAAAATCCATGGAAGCCATAGAGGAGGTGCTAACAGAAAATCTACATTGACAAAAACTAAAACACATGGTATGCATATAAGCGTAGAATAAAGTGACACTTTTCACGTCAGCTTAAAAATCCTACAGTGTTTCCTTACTTATTGTTGCTAGTTTGACATTCACTACATTTATCAAAAAAAAAAAAAAACAAAAAACAAAAAAACAAACCAAACAAACAAAACCACCACCACTCTCATGTATGATTTCTCCCTCATTTTCGTTTCTCCTTTCACCAACTGAATAACCAGAACTTGGCACACGATTTCTTTCTCAGAAATAGTATTTCAGTGACGTGCCTAACGTGCATTTGCAGCGGTTGATCTGTTGGTTAAAACATGAAAGGACGCCCACACACAGCTCAGCGCTCCCAACTGTGCCAGGATGGGCAGGAATACCGTAAAAACTGTGCAAGTCAGAACAAAAAATGCGATTTCTCTAAAGCTATGCAAGTAGAGAAAAATCATATGAGGCTATTTATATTTTTGGAGGTACGTCTAAAGCAGTGACTGGGGGTGCCTTTCCAGGGTGACGGAGCCGATGTCCCCCGGAGCGCCGGTGACAGGCGCTGCCCCTCGCTGAGCCCCAGGGCCGCTGCAGCGCCGGGCCATTGTTCGGAGCTCCGCTGCTTTCAGGGCTCACTCACATCATTGCCGGTAAATGGAGACAGGCTCCTGCCACGGCAGCGGTGCAAGCAGCTGCCGCTCTGTGTGAGTGTGAGCAGCTCCATTTTGTGCACACCAGAACCCGCAGCGGGACACAGCGACAGCTCAGCGGGCACTGGGGAACCGGGCACAAACTGCACCCAAGGTCTCCCTCCATCCCGCTGCCTCCCGACCACCCCCTGGGGAAACAGGACCTCTGAGCCCCCTCCCGCCCAGCCCCGGTCACATCAGTCATCCAAAGGGCAAACTGCATTATATAAATCACCCGGCTCATTGTATTTTTAACAGATCACACAGTTACTAAACAACACCAGCACATAAACGTGAGGTTCTGCAGTCGTGCAGAAACCCCTCAGCACAATACAACTACTCCGCTACCCTGCCGGAGGGACGCGGCGTTCAATCCACATTACGTGCAGAAGCTGCAATGGCAACAACCACTGAGTTCACACAAACACCGACTGGAGCCGCACGGAGCCGGTCTGCCCGCTCCGCCCTCCGCAGCGCGGGTCCGCCGGCAGCCGCTCACCTGCTGGTCGCACTCGGGGCAGGACTTGGTGGCCATCTTCACTTTCTTGGCCCTACTGGAGGACATGCTCGCTGCTGCCGTGGCCGGGCTGACACGGCCGCGGCCGGAGCGCCCGCCCCGGGAGGAGCCGGCGGGAGGAGCGGGAGGAAGGAGGTGGAGTGAGGAGCCGGCGAGAGGAGCGGGAGGGAGCGGCCAGAGAAGGAGGAGCGGGAGGAAGGAGGTGGAGTTGGAGTGAGGAGCCGGCGAGAGGAGCGTGAGGGGATGGCCAGAGGAAGAGGAGGCGGGAGGAGCCCCGCGCGCCCCCGACAGAAGACTAGCCCCGCCCACCTCCGCGCGGGCGCGCGCGGCCGGCCCCGCCCGCGCCACCGGATTGGCTGCGCGCCACCTGCGCTCGGAGCCCCCTGGCGGCCGCGCTGGGAACGGCCCGGGGGCTGGGAATGGGGAGGGGAGCGGGAATGGCGGGGGGAGCGGGAATGGCCCGGGGGCTGGGAATGGGGAGGGGAGCGGGAATGGCGGGGGGAGCGGGAATGGGGAGGGGAGCGGGAATGGCGGGGGGAGCGGGAATGGCCCGGGGGCTGGGAATGGTGAGAGGAGCGGGAATGGGGAGGGCAGCAGGAATGAGGGAGCCTGACAGAAATGTGCCTGCCGTCAGAAAGCACCAAACACCACCTCTGCGGTTTCCGTCTCAATTCAGAAAGAGCCAAGACTGCAGCAGAGGGGGATGTTTATCGCCTGCTGCGCTGCTGGGAGCCCGGTGGTCCCAGAGCGGGGTGTCTGGCCATGCCTTTTAGTGGGTTCTGCTCACAAATGGGATGTTTTCGAGTACAATGTCCTCAGACAGCAATGTGCCACTGCCAGACCCTACCAGGACCAGAGCAACAGGAACAGCTATTCAGGAATTTCTGACACATAATTCATTATTCATGCATTCATGCATGTCCTAGCGAGGATCTTCCACATTGTCATGCCAGCCCTCTCCATCCTTACTACCAATGATGAATGGTAGTGATGAATATGATGAATAAAGAATGAAACATGGTTTGCAATGTCCTCTCCTGTGCCAGAAAAACCTGTTGATTTTTTTTTCCTCCTCTTCCACAAGTGTGTGCCCTGAGCCTGGTTCCCACACAGGGCATGAGAAGGTCCTGTTCGGTCCCTGTGAGCACTGGGGCTCCCCATGTGTGTGGTGGTTTCTGGCTGTGCACACAGGTACCAGACTGCCTCATTCGCCCTTTTCCTTTCCTCCTCAGTAATTAATTTATGACTCAGAGGGTGGATTTGTTTCCCTGTTCTCCCTGCATATTTTTTTCCAGCCTATACCAGTCCATTGGCGCAGGTGTTTCTCCAGAGATACACAAAGACAAGACAGGTTTATTTTCCATATAAACTGTGACTGCTGCCAGAAAGCAAATATGTTCTATGTAGGCACAACATCCAGATTTCATTCCTGAATCCAGAACAAATCCATGCAAGCTCAGGATCTTAAGCTTGCATTTGGATTTTTAATTTTTTTTCCTTCATTGATAAGGTTCAGCCATAGCAAAACAGAAAGGTATTTGAGGAGGATTTACAACAGCAGGGGGCTCTGCTGAGTCTAGTAACAGTATCTAGTAAATAAAAGAATGAATACACTAGAGGGCTCACAGACATCTATGACAATACCCTGCTTTTCTTCATAGAGTAAATAAAGTAGTCAGCTGTTCAACTACTCCATAAAAACAAAAATGTTTTCCTTACTGAATGCAAACAAGGTGCTAGAAAACTAGATTTACCTGGCTAGAAAACTGATTTACCATACATGTATTTTTCATGTTATTCTAATTTTTTAACACATTACTTTTGAGTTCTGAAAGTCCAAAACAATTTCTTTTACATAATTTCAGAGGTTTAATACAGCACTGAGATAAAAACAGCAAATAAGAGTACAGGTTTAAGGGTACAGATATTTTCTCTCTTAATAGAGTCAAGGCACTTTGCAAGATCAAGCCTCGCTTAAAATGTCTTTTACACAAATTTAAAATAAAAAATAAGAAAATTCCGCAATGTCTCTATCATATGAAAAGCTGCAGGTGGCTTTGTAAGTGCCTCATGGTTTCTTTTCTCTGCTGTTGTCACCAGAGACTCCAGCTGAGCTGCAGGGCCTGAGATGTTTCCACTGCCTGCCGCATCAACTGCCTGCAACTATAATTTTACAAGGAAACAAAAATTCCAAAGTAGGATCAATTCACACGTCTGATCCTCCTCAGAGTGCGAGAGAGAAGCACTCCTGAGCTGTATTTCTGCTCAGCACCCCAGGCAGTTTGGAAGCATCCTACTCTCCTGCAGTGTCCCCTAGGAGAGCTGACAGCCTTGGGATCTGTCAGCCCCAACGTGCTGACAAAACACAGCAAATTGAGAAATTAAATTCCTAAAGTGCTCTGCAACCTTGTGTCAAAAGGGTTATAAAACACATCCTGGTTAAGTAACAACTTCCTAATTAGTCAGCTAGAGTCAGCAGGGGTATTATTCTTTCCACGGCCAAAGTACTATCCAGAGAATTCTTAAGTTATATCTAAAATACAAGATTAGGATGCATGAGAGCAAAATTACAAATAATAGGAAGAGCTAGATTACAATATTTGCAATGTTACCATATAGGAATTGAAGTTGTAATGGACAGTATTCAACTGGCAAGAAGAAAGTACTGTATAAAAATACACTGATTAAACAGACAAGCTTCAATCCTATTTTATTATTCTGATTTTGGTAATTTTGATAATAATATTAGTTTATAGTACTTAATAATGTTACTGTGCTTCTCACCAGTGGATTTCAGGGCAGCTGTAATCTGAGTCCCCTCTGAGTCCTTTCATAGGCAATCAAAGTCGTGCCTAACAAGTCCTTTGAGATCCCATTACTCTGAATTTGGGCAAGACCAACATTTAAGAGGCACAAATGTTGGCTTTGTTCCCCAAGTACAGCTAAATATTGAGTGTTTCCCAATTACAAAGCATTTTTAAATTCACAATGTTGATAAGCATTGATGCCTCTTGGTTTCAGGAAGCCCAGGCTTAGGCTGGCTCCTGCCTCTGGCTCAGCTGAGCACATTAAGGCTTGCCTGAGGGAAAAAGGCCACAGCCTCAGATTTTAAAAAGAAGCTTTTCTTAAAATATCAATAATTTAAGCTATCTCATAGCAGTAGCGCCTACTGTTCCCTAAAAAAAGGCTTCCAACATTTTATTGTCACATATTAGGCCTTTTTTGTGGGAAACTTTTTTAAAACCCACATGGTGTTCTGAATAGTTCAGTTTCTACCAATTAATATACTTTCACCAAAAGCTTACATTATTTTCATAGAGCATCTTTTCAATTAGTTCTAATGAAGAGAATTCAATAGATTGCACATTCATCTGAGTTTAGTTTTTGGGTAGGAGGTTGGGCTTTTTTTTGTGGGTTTGGTTTTTTTTTCCCTCTTTATCATGAAATAATGAGTTGTTAAACATTAAGTTATGAAGTCGCTTAACTGGCATTTTCACAGTGGACTGCATTGAGCTTTGCACCAAATCTTGAAGTTTTATGTTCAGTTTGAAGAACAGTAGAAATTGTCATTTCTCTGAAGATACTCCTTATATTCTGAACTGCTACCATAAAGCAGTAGTCCATAGTAAAAAAAAACATCCTCCTTACTTGTACAACACAGAGTACAGAAAACCTTGCTTTTTTGTCTGAATAAACCTGGTTTTCATAATGTGGTTTTCATTTACTTAGTATGCTCAAAGATTCCCAAATACCATTAAAAAGGCTTTGGCATTTTAAGCTATTGAGAGCAGTTTTCTATCCAGAATCTTTGTTTCAATGGAACAGCAGCAGCAGAATGAATGCTCAGTTACCACATGTCATTATTGTAATCATGGGGTTTAAACCATGCAACTATTCATGGCAAAGCAGCTTGTTGAAGGTCTGTCAGAATGGAACATGTGACAGCAGCTGTTATCCTGTTTATCACTCTTGTTTCTCCAAGTCTCCATCTACCTTTCCATGTATTTGTGCACTTGCTGCTGTTCTGTATCTCTAGCTTGGCATCATCAACATGAAATTCATTATTTTAGCTTCTTAAAACTGCAAGAAAAGCAGCTTGTGTCTTTATGGCTAGAGGTGGAACACAACCTGGAGATCAAAGCACCTCGGTAAGCAGCACTGTCCACCTTCAATGTCTGGTGTGTCTGAAACCTGTGTTCATATGATTTCCATATTCATTTAGGAGCAACTTTGCCTCAACATTGCAAGCTCATCCTACCCTTTTTACTTTCAGGAAAGCATTTGTATTAAAATGACCTTTGGAGATACATTTACCACGTGTAAAGAGAGAGGTATTTTTCTCTAACACCACTTCATACTGCATTTACCATGGAAAGGCTTTGTTTCATCCCATTTATTTCCTGCGTGCTTTTCTAAGAAATTACCCAGCCTATTGAATTCCAGTTTTGCATATATTTATTCCAATGTTCTACTGAAACCCATTTGACTTGTGCCAAGTGCATTTGCAGGTGTGGAGCCTCAGTCCAAGGCTGCCCTGTGTTACACACGAACCAGCAGCCTCACCGAATTTGCAAGCAAGGTCTGAGGCTTGCTTGGCTTGTCACCAGTGCAGGGACAGAGATACCAGGGGATCTGTGCCTTCACTTGTGGGGGATCAGAGGGAGACTCAGGGCAGGGCTGGCTGGACACTTTGTGCTACGCCAGCTCTTTCTGGGGGGTGGACTGGGGGTGGAACAGCAGCGTGTGGACCAAGAGCAAAGGTCAACTTGTGTTCTTCCCCCAGCAAAATTTGTGTTTCCAAATTACAATCCAAACTCTGATCTTTAATAGTCTGGGTAGCATTTCAGCCTTGATTTCTAAGGAACCATGAAATACACTTGAATTAAGATAGCTGGGAAATCTACTTGTATCCACTGAATTTAAATATTAGAATTTAAAATAATTTGAACATTTCAGGTCATCTGATAAAAGCTTACTATAAAATCCAATCTGGTTTTGTGATAAACCCAACCTTGACATGTCTTACCACAGCTTGAAATATTTTCTTCTGAACTTCTTTTTATCAAACATAGAAAAAAGGGACATGACACTGTTAATTATCGAACTGCCAGATTCAGAGAGCACTTGGCTTTCCAGATACACAACTGATGACAACTTTAAAAGTTAAGTGTCAAAACATACAGGCTCCAAA